ATGCGCTGCTTCTCCCGCAGGGTCAGTGAAGACCGAGGGCGCACGGCGTGGGACCGAACTGCCGGTGGTTGGGGCTGTTCCCGCCGCTCTGAGCTGGGGAAACACGGGATCGGTTGTGCTGGTGCTGAGCCCTGCGGAGGAAGTGCTGGTGCTGTGTAACTGGTGGCGCTTAGAGCACAAACGCAGCTGCAGGATGGGTTGGAGCACAAGAAATGATGGAGTTGTGCTTTGCCACGTGGGTTAGTTGAAGGTGAGTGTCCTGGGGGGTGCAGTGATGCAGCTGAAGGGATTTGCACTGTTAGCTGCAGCGATAGCTGGTGTAGATTTAAATCTGCAGAGTTTAAAGAGAGGAGAATTTAAAAGGTAATTCAAATCTTTATCCTGCTTAGCTCTGTGGAATAGATCAGGTTACATTGCAGTGTTCTTTCTCAACCTCAAATCAAGTCCAGCCTTATTAAACTCTTTGCTGTTGTATCTCTGCTTTGGCTTCTATATTTAGCCGCTTTTGTAGCTTATAGGTTAATAAAGTTTTCAAACGATTTGTTTGGCTTCTGTTTCTGTCTGTCACAGTTCCCATGGGTGACGTAAAACACCACAGGTTGACTTTAAACTATATTTAGGCACTCAGTGGAACTTGAGGGTGTTGGAACGGCTGCAGCTCAGCCCAACTCCCGTTCATGGGAATCTTGGAGACGCTGAGGTTGGAAAAGAACTTTAATATCTGGTCCAACCCCTCCAAGGATGCCAAGGCCACCACTGACCATGTCCCCAAGTGCCACATCCACATGGCTGTTAAATCCCTCCAGGAATGGTGAATCCACCACTGCCCTGGGCAGCCGTTTTGGGGGAGAAATACTCCCAATATCCAACTTAAAATACTCCCAATATCCAGTCTAAAGTAGGTAGTGTCATGTTGTTTCTGCCATGTGGTTCCAGATGGGTTCAAGGCTGAGCTGGATAGTGCGTTTAGACAATGAAAACACCTCTGTAGCCACGGAGGTTATTAAAAAACTTTATTAACAGGAATGAA